CGGTCTGCGGACTGAAAGGTCCCGGGTTCGATTCCGGTCAGGGGCATGTACCTTGGTTGCGGGCACATCCCCAGTAGGGGGTGTGCAGGAGGCAGCTGGTCGATGATTCTCTCTCATCGACGTTTCTAGCTTTCTATCCCTCTCCCTTCCTCTCTGTGAAAAATCAATAAAAAAAAAAATATATAAAAAAAAAAAAAAAACAGAATCTCTAACGGCGGGGCCCAGACAGAAGTTTTTTTTTTTTTTTTTTTTTTAAATATATTTTATTGATTTTTCACAGAGAGGAAGAGAGAGGAATAGAGAGTTAGAAACATCGATGAGAGAGAATCATCGATCAGCTGCCTCTTGCACACCCCCTACTGGGGATGTGCCTGCAAGTAAGGTACATGCCCTTGCCCGGAATCGAACCCGGGATCTTTCAGTCCGCCGGCCAATGCTCTACCACTGAGCCAAACCGGTCCCGGCCAGAAGTATTTTTTAAAGCTTTCTGGTGTGAGCCAAGGTTGAGAGCCTTGCAAAGAACAATCTCTGTCAGTCAGTGTGAATTCCATTTCTAATCTGGAAATAAGCATCAAAAGCCTTCATTAGAAAGTTCTGTTAGCCTTTGAGGCTGCAATTTCACCTTTCAGAATTTACCTCAAAAAAATAACTAGAGCCAAAACTGGTTTGGCTCAGTGGATAGAGCGTCGGTCTGTGGACTGAAGAGTCCCAGGTTCGATTCCGGTCAAGGGCATGTACCTTGGTTGCGGGCACATCCCCAGTAGAGGGTGTACAGGAGGCAGCTGGTTGATGTTTGTCTCTCATCGATGTTTCTAGTTCTCTATCCCTCTCTTTTCCTCTCTGTAAAAAAAAAAATCAATAAATATATATTTTTTAAATAAAAGAAAAAATAAAATAACTAGATATATATAAAAAGAAAAAAACTAGAAATATAGACAATGATTATGTGGAAAGATGTTTATCATGGTATCCTATATAACAAAATCTAAATATGCAAATTGACCAAATGGTGGAACAACTGGTCACTATGATATGCATTGACCACCAGGGGGCAGACTTGTTGAAACTGCAGATCCTGCCCCGGACAGGTAGCCCAGTTGGTTAGAATGTCACCCCTTATGCCAAGGTTATGATCTCCAGTCAGGGCATCTATAGGAAGCAACCAGTGAATGAATAAATAAGTGGAACAACAAAGCGATGCTCCTCTCTCTTTCTAAAATCAATAAGAAAAATTGATTTTTAAAAATGCAAATTTAAAAAAAATCGTATACTAACTGGGTAGGTCTGAGAGGGGAGCCTGGCATTCTGAATTTCCAACAAGCTCCCAGGTGATGCTGCTACTGATCTTCAATCCCACTTTTAAGTGGAAGGACCCGGAATTAAAACCCAGGAGGTGCCCTCGCCAGTTTGGCTCAGTGGATGAAGCATCAGCCTGTGGACCAAAAGATCCCTGGTTCGATTCTGGCCAAGGGCACGTACTTTGGTTGCAGGCTCCTCCCCGGCCCAGGCCCTGATCAGGGCATGTACAGAAGGCAACCAATCGATGTTGTTTCTCTCTCATTGATGTGTTTCTCTGTCTTTTCCTCTTTCTTCCACTCTCCCTAAAAATCAATGGAAAAATACCCTCGGGTGAGGATTAACAAAATATATACATAAAGGAGTCATTACCACCCACCTACCACCCACAGAAAGGCTCTGCAGACCAATGAAGAACCAGGGCGTGAGGTTCCTAGGGGGAAAAAACAAACATGAAGTTTGAGGGGCAATGGTCAGGGCTACAGGACATCCCAAGAATGCTACAGGTGCTCTGGCCAATAAGGGTCAGCCAGCCCTTGTTCAGGGAACAGGCAGAAACACTTCACCTGGGCAATCGCACACACCCAATGAGACTCCTCAAACATCTGAGACCTCCCAGGCTAGGCACTGGGAACACAAAGACCGCCTGGTGTAAAACTGACGTGTTGCCTCAGAATAAAAATAGCCTCAAAACTAGGCACCTGAGAGATGATTTGGGGGCTTTAGATGGAGAAAATTAACTTAAAATGGTTAAATATGACAAACTGTTTCACATTACTTCCAAGTGCTTTTAGCTAAACAAAAGTGATACTTTCTTTTTTTATACGGAGATGCTTTACTTTGTTGTTTCTAATCCTCACCCAAGGATGTTTTTCCATTGATTTTTTTTTTTTTAAGAGAGAGTGGGAAGGAAGGGGAGTGACAGAAAGAAACAACCATGTTACATCAATCGGTTGCCTCCCACACGTGCCCCCGAACAGATGGGATGGAGCCTTGACCGGAGGTACGTGCCCTTGACCAGAATCAAACCCTGGACGTTCAGTCCACAGGCTGATGATCTATCTACTGAGCCAAACCGCTATAGCAAAATACAAGAGTTTTTAACAGCCCACACCTTTCCTCTTCAGGTAACCACAAAATGACCCAGAAGAAGGAATCCAGACCTCATTCCCGTTTTTTTTTTTTTTCAAAGTCAATCACTGACTCAGATACAGGCCCAATGCCAAATTCTCCGCATTTTCTTCTGTAACTCATGTAAACTGTGGCAAAGGGAAACCTGAAGTTGTTTATCTAAGAACATGTGCATGCTCTCAGAGGTCATAGCAGGTCCTGCCTGGTGAGCTGCCTTCTCTTGGGTAACTGCTCCTTAGAGCCATGCTTCCAGACAGCCAAGACTGTCTGGTCTGGACCAGTTTCCTTACGGGGCGCAATAAGGAATACAGCGACAGAATGGGCTGGTAAGAATCTGCCTGTGTATCTCCAGGGGCACAATGATCCCCATGAGAGGGACAGTCTGTCCCTCCAGAGGCTATCTGAAGTCTCCTAAGGCAGTGATCGGCAAACTGCGGCTCTCGAGCCATATGTGGCTCTTTGGTCCCTTGAGTGTGACTCTTCCACAAAATACCACTTGCGACCGGGACCGGTTTGGCTCAGTGGATGGAACGTCGGCCTGCGGACTGAAAGGTCCCGGGTTCAATTCCGGGCAAGGGCATGTACCTTGGTTGCGGGCACATCCCCAGGAGGGGGTGTGCAAGAGGCAGCTGATCGATGATTCTCTCTCATCGATGTTTCTAACTCTCTATCCCTCTCTCTTCCTCTCTGTGAAAAATCAATAAAATATATTTTAAAAAAAAAATACCACGTGCGAGCGCGCATGTCCAGTGAGATTGAAACTTCGTGGCCCATGCGCAGAAGTCGATTTTGTTTTTGTTTTTTTTAAAATATACTTTATTGATTTTTTACAGAGAGGAAGGGCGAGGGATAGAGAGCTAGAAACGTCAATGAGAGAGAAACATCGACCAGCTGCCTCTTGCACACCCCCTACCGGGGATGTTCCTGCAACCAATGTACATGCCCCTGACCGGAATCGGACCTGGGACCTTTCAGTCCGAAGGCCAACGCTCTACCACTGAGCCAAACCGGTTTCGGCAGAAATCAGCTTTTGACTCTCAAAAGAAATTTCAATAGTTGTACTGTTGATATTTGGCTCTGTTAACTAATGAGTTTGCCGACCCTCCACCAGCAAAAAGGTTACAATTCCCTTTCTTACTACAGTGCTCTGGCATTGAACCTGCAAAATCTCCCTGCATAAGGCTTACCCCACGGTACCGCTGACCTCACTGCTTCACCTGCACCCTAGGCACCTGGCCCACCACCAGTGCTCCGTTAAAATCTATCGACAAAATGAAGGTATGTCATCCCCAAGGCTCTGAGATTACAAACTCACAAAACTGAGCACCTCAATTTGCAGAACAAGCTGTGGGGAAAGTTAGTTGGCATATCCTTCGCTGACCGCCCTGAGCCTGCAACACCTGTGTACGATGGCCTGGGCCTGAGATGACCCAACACATCCCTCGCCTGGATCTCAGTGGACCATGTGGGAGGCAGGAGACTGGGCCTTTGTCCTTCTACGTCCCAAAAGTGAAAGCAAAGAGGGAAGCCAACCCTGACCACCTCAGCAGACCTAATTCTAGACACTCCCTTAAATCTGTTCACGTGGGTTAGTGATATTAAGTCATGTTCAGATGTTGAACTCATTTTGCATTCCTGGAATAAACCTAACCTGTTAATGAGGAGTTGTTCTTTTTAGACACTGCTGGGTTCAGGAACCTACTATTTCAGAGAGGATTTCTACATTTATACTCAGGAGTGACACTGGCTTATAATGTTCTTGTCTTGTGTCATTTTTATCAGATGTAGGATCAAGGTTATACTAGCCCCTTTTACATTATTTGGAAGAATTTGTACGCAAGTGGAATTATGTATTGCCTCAGTGATTGGTAGAACTCACCAAGGAAACCTGTTAGGCCTGGAATTTTCTTTGAATTTTTAATTCAGTGTCTCTATTGATTACAGACTATTTCAATTTCCCATTTCTTACAAAATCTATTTTGGAAAATTATATTTTTCTAGGCAATTCCAAACATTTGAATTACAAAAATAACCGGTATCTGGAATGCATGCCGACCCTGAAGTGAACGCTGCAAGAAACTAAGTGTCTTATGAATCATCAAAGAAGCAACAGCTCACACGTGTACTGTGTGTTACACTTTATAAGAGCACTGCCCCGGTATTACCTCATCTGAAGATCAAGATATGGGGGTGGCTTTGGTTACTTTTGGTGGCTGTGTATTTGCAAAGGGAGGAGTAAACTTCTATGTGGCTGAGTCCGGTGACTCTGACCAGCACCCATCTGCTGGCCACACTAGGAAGTCCAGTGGAGGCCGAACTGCTGAATTCCTCCCTTCACTCCGGGAAGCCACTTGTCGTGAACAAGAGGAAGCAGCCACAAATGCCTTGGGAGTGTCCCCAGCAGGGCTTGGGGAGTGTTCTTAGCTCCTTGAAACCCTCCCCAAGGCCGGGCTGGAAATGAAATCTAGGGGCTCTGTCCTGTTTACTGACCTGGGTCCACAGGACACGTGGCCTGGAAGCAGTGGACAGCCTGGGGGAGAGTGGGGGGGGGGGGAGGGGAAGAGCACACTCACCAGGGCCTCAAAGTCCTTGCAGTCGTGGCGGGCGTAGGACGCGGGGAAAGGCCGCAGCGCGGAGTCCCGCTTGTAGCTCTGCAGGGCCGCGGTGAACAGGCTGCAGCGCAGGTCCGCCGCCGGCGCGTCGCGGGCCGCCGCTTCCCGCACGGCCGCCCAGCCCGCGGGCCGCATCCTGGGGCGGCGCGGGGCCTGGGGGGACGCGGCGGTTCAGGAGCGGAGGCTGAGCCTGCGGTCGGCGCGGGGCCGGGCCCGGGACAAAGGGCCCGGGGGGATGGGGCTGCCAGGGCCGGGGTGGAGCCGGCGGGATGACCGGGGTGAGGCCGTGCTAACGCGCGTCTCCTGCGGGGTCCCGGCCGGCGGAGCAGGGGGACGGAACGCGCGGCGGGGCTGGGGTAATGGGGCCCGGGGCGGGGAGGTCCAGCCCTGGGGGAGGGAGGGTCTATGACATGCGATGAGCCCACAACGGCGGCGGAGACGCGCTGACCCGCGCCCTCCGCGGGGGCGTGGGCCGGGGGCACACCCAGGCGGGCCGCGGGCGGAGACCCTCCCGCGCGGCCCCGGCGGCGGCGGCGGCGCCTTCCTGCCCCGCCCCCGGCCCGGCGCCGCCGAAGCCCCGCGCGCCCGGCTGCCCTCGGCGCCGCCTGCGTTCCGCCAGCGGCCCGCCCCGCTCCCCGAGCGCGGTCCCCGGCCCTGCCCGCCGGAGGGGCCCGCGCCCCGCGCGCTCGGCCTACCTCCCCTCCCGGCGCCGCGCTCCCGGGCTGCTCCGCGCTCCTCCCAGCCCCGCGGCCCGCCCCGCCCCGCCCCGGTGCGGGGTGCCCGCCCCCCGCGAGCCCGGCCCCCCAGCCGCCAGGGGTGCGCCCCTGTTCCCCGAGACACCCGCGCGGCCGCGTGCCGTTCTCACCGAAGCCTGGATCGCGCCCTTTTGACCCGCCCTTGGACTTGCCTTTGTGACTAGTCTCTCCTGGGGAATTGCTACTACCTACGGCCTCCCTCGTGAATGATTTCCCTCCAAAAAACTGGCCATGCCAAAGGAGCCACTTACCACCCGGGGGAAATGAGTGTCCGAGTGCTGCAGAGCTGGCCCAAGGTCCCACAGCCTGACCAGGTGCATCTGGGATTCATACCCAGATCTGAAAACCGAATGACCCTCTCTCTGCCGAGCCCTCTCTAAAAGGGAGCCTGGGGAGATTCACCTAATTGACTCAAGTCCCATCCCTCTCCCAGCGTACAACCCTATTAGAGAAAAAAAAACAACACAACAATTTGGCCTCATGGTCACATGGAAATCTAATCACAGGCCATTGCCAATAACCTGCCCACATCCTCACACCCCAGCACCTTCTGAGGGAGGAACTTTACCTCCTGCATCCAGGCTGAGCTGGGCCCTGGTCTCTGAGGAAAGGTGGTCTGTGCCATTGCATTGTATGAGTTTGGGAGGAAGAGCAAGACTGGATCCCCAGACACCACAAAGCTTCCCAGGCCAGACAGTGAGTGCTGGTTGCTCCAGGCGTGCTAGTCAGACCTCTGGTTGCTCTGAAGCCTGGACCGGTCCAGAGCTCTAAAAAAGTGTCCTAATGTACCCAAAGAGCTGAAGGTCACGCCCAGAAAGGCAGAGCCTATAGCAGTGGGGCAGGAGGCCTGGGGATTGATACTGTTACAATAACTAAATAACAGGAAAGGAATAAAACAGAGTCTAGATAATGTAGGCATGCCATTTATACAGCTTTGACAGAAAGCTACAGTTAACTGTTAGGTCTGATCCAATAATCCAATCCATGTCCCCTCCCCTGGGAAACTGATCTTTAGATCATTTCACAACCAACATTCCCTTTTGCTTAGACCTCATTCCATTTGCTAAGACCAGTAACTTTCCCCTCCAGACCTGCCCAGGATCCGGATCCGCCCAGAGAATCCCCTGCCGAAAAAGCCAGCCTAGGGTCCTTTAAAATCTCTGACTCCCATAGCTGGGTGCTGATGCCATTTGGGGGCTCAGCCCACCTGATTTCCAGGTGATCTAAAAAGTTCATAATTCTTTGCCCCTTTCAGCCTTCTGTGTACCTCCTTTGGCAACCCTAACATTAACATTTTCCAAGTCTGTTCCAATAGATCGCTGGCGGAAGGGACAGGACAATAGAGGCATGCCCAGAAAGGTCTGGGTGATGTGGGAAGGTGATTACTTTTCAGTCACACCTGGGAATGGGGCATTGTCCAAAGGAAATGTGTAGGCATGGCCACTGCAAGTGCCAGAAGATTTCATATTTACTAGTAGACTCTTGAACAAAGGAAATCTCTATCACTGCTCCAGCCTGCTTCCTGGCTCCTGGCTGTTAGAAATAAGGCGAGCCCCCCAAGTCAGTGGTTCTGGTAGAATACAAAACACACTCAGGAGCCAGGCAGCAAGGCAAGCATCTTTACTTCTACGTAGAAAGGTGCTCACAGATGGTCTGGAAGCCCACGCACACCGAGCAGGCAGTCTGCTCAGGTTTATAATCCCTGATGCACCTGTCCCTTGCTCTTGATTGGAGCTCAGGCACACACAGTCTTTCATGATTGGCTTATTCAAAGGGAGGGGCTGGCCTTTGCTGTTTCAAGATGGTGGCCCCAGGGGAGCTACAAGCCATGTGGCCAACATGGTGGTTGCCAAGTCACAAAGTCCAAAATGGCAGCTGTCTCAACTGCTGTTTGACAGAAAAGATGATTTGTTGATTCTCACACGGCCAAACAATGGACTGATGGACCTATTGTCGGTGCGGTCAGACCAAACCTGGGTTCAGCAACCTTGGTACTTGGGTTCTGGCTAAGAAGGAATTCAGAGCCAAGATCCAAACTGTAAGAGAACATTTATTTGGTAAGTTATACAGGTAGAAAAATAATTCTTAAAAGAAATGGGAGAGCAGCCTGGGAAGAGGAGCAAGATGGTGGACACCGAAAAGGGTGTTTTGCAGCCGACGGGACTCTCTACTGCCCCAATTTTGTTTAGCTTCAGTAGTAAGGCTGCCCAAAGTCAGCTGGCAGGCCAGGGAGACAGCCCTGGTGCAGCTCAGGAAGAAGATTTCTTGAAGACTACGGAAGGGAGGAAGCTGCAGAGTGCCAATACCCCAGAAGCCCCCAGGCACTTGTCATCTCTTTGATCCAGAGCGACCACCGAAGGCAGCCACCAACACTGAGGCCCAGGCCCATCCACAGACACTGAGGCCACTGGGGATGGGATGCTGTCCAGGCTATGAAAGAGTTCCTTGAGGAATCCAAGAACTCTTTGGAAGAAAGAGAGAATGTGAGTGTCGACCCCGTGATCCAGAAAAGATGCATCCACAGGAAAGGGGCAGGCAGCGAGCGCTGGGCAGAGCAGTGCCCAAGGCAGCCGATGATGAGGCAGTCCTGTCAAGGCCTACAGGCTGTCCATGTTGCAGGGCCTGGGTTGGAAACCTGGCTGGGGCATCGGCCATACTTTTAATCAAGTGGTGAAGCCCCATATAAACTCACTAAAGGGTTAGGGCTGTGCACCAGTTTGGTTGAGGTCCAGACCCTGGCTCCCACCAGCCCCCCTCACTTACCAAGCCCAGGTGAAAAGCAAGAGAAGCATAAGGAAGACCAGCCTCAAGGACTGGTATCTGGAGGAGCTGTGGTGGTTCCTTCTGGCCCTGTCAGAAGACGCTATAGAAAGGTGGAAGGCTGGCCCCCAACAATGTCTGGGCCGAGATTCATTTGGCCATGGGAAGCGACGTGGTGACTGTGAGTGAATGCTGCCGGTGGCCTGTCTCCCAGCCCTTCTTGGATCCCAGCCAGGTGAAGGCAACAAAGCAGAACAGCCTTGTTACAGAAGGACCTTCGCAACCGGTGGGAGCTGAAGAGAGAAAGCTGAAACACCTTCCGAACCCACAAGAGGAGCCTCCATCCAAGAGTCAGAAAGCAGCCTGTAGGGGGCAGCACCAGTTGCACAGGGACCTGCTTGTGTGGTTTGTGGACAAACTGTACTACTGTGGTCAGTATTACAGCACCAAGATAATAACAGAACACATCCTCAGCCCAGACACTTGTGTGTGTTGGACAGATGAAGGCCAGGTCCTAGAAGGCGTCAGGGAAGGCATGCTGGACACCCTCATCCCCAATGTCCAGGGCAAACAGGTGATGGTGGTGCTGGGGCCACAGGCTGGAAGGGTGGGCCACCTGCTGAGCTGGCAAGGAGAGCAGAGCCAGGCTGTGGTTCAGCTGCGGACAGAGAATCGGCTGGTGGAGCTCGCTATGATGCCGTTTGCGAGTACATGGGCCCCACGGACTCACAGGCAGACTGACCCAGGGGCCCATCCGTCCCCCGGGCAGTTACCAGTTCTGTAGTGTGCGAAGCCTGCCTCTGCTAAGCGGGAGATCACTGTCCGTCCTGCGTCTGCTATGCAGCCCTGGGACAGGGCAGGGCATGCAGTGGGTAGACCAGAAGGGAGGCTGGACACACAGCTAGCATTTGCCAGCAGTTAGTGGAAAATAAAAACATTTCAAATAAAATAGATAAATACCAAAGAAATGGGCTTAGGAAACAAGTTGCAGAGGTAAAGGAAGCCACTTGGAGCTTGGGAGGGAGGAAGCTAATGGTACCTGCCTGGGCGGGGAAGGCAGGGGGAAGGGGAAGGGGGAAGGGAAAGCAGGGGTATGCTCCCTGGGGGAGCCAAGGGACACTTTCGCTGGGAAGCTGTTATGCTATGTCTGGATTTCATGATCCCCAAAGACCACCAGGGAGCTGAGTCTGATGCAAAAGCAAAAGAGTCTTTTTATTTCAGGCTAGCTCGAGCAGTGGAAAGGTGGAGGAAGAGAACGGGTTTCTCTAGAACAGTGTTTCCCAACTTCTCTCATGATGAGAATCACCTGGTGGAGTTGTTAAACTACAGATTCCTGAATCCCAACTAAGAAGTGCTAAACTAGAATTTCTGGGAACATATAGGTAAAATTGTATCCTTAACTAGTGCTCTAAGACACTGCTCTAGAACAATGGATTTCTAGGGGTGGTGAGGTCACTGCTTTGGCTGACCCTGATTGGTTGGGTGAGGGCTAGGGTCCAGTTACATAGTGACATAGTTATACCAGATGGAGAGGATGTAGCACAAGATGGAGTCAGGAGTTAACCCTGTCCAACTCTCAAAGCTACAGGGGACTGCAGCTTTGTGGCTCCAAAGGGATTA